ACACGCCGTCACGCCATCACGCCGCGCCGCTGAGATAATCTGGAGGGGACGGAGATCAGAGAAAAGTTTCTCCTCAGGGTTTTTGGTTCCGTGAGGAGATCCAGACAGATGGTTGCAGATAACACACACACACGCACACGCACACACACACATGCACAAAGCTCTCCACAGGAACCAGCGTGTTACCTGGGGAGCCCGGCGGGGGATGCCCAGCTGACAGTAATGCGTATCGGCAGCAGCCAGCGTGACATCAGCATGTGTGTGTGTGTGCGTGTGTGCGTCTGCAGAGAGGAGGCGACACACAGCGGTGGAAGTCCAGCGTGTGAGGAATGGACCTAATGAACCGCTAATGAACCCCGAGACGCTGGTGGGACGTCACAGTAACGTCCTCTTCGATCTCACGGATCGGAAACACTGAAGTTCCTCCACGACATTTAACGGAACCAACGCTTATTGCTATTTACCACGAAGGGAAACCGTTTGGACACACACAGCATGAGAGGGATTCTCTGTCTGCGTCACAGGGCTCCGTCACCATGGGGGGCCGAGGGGGGGTAAAGAGTCTGGTAAGGACCTTAGAATGAAAACAGCTAATAAAAAAGAAACAAGTTGTGTAAACTAATGTAAACAGAATGATGGAGCATGTTAATGCATACAAAGGGGGGGGCTCAGGTCCCAGAATGCAGCGGTTCTACGGGTACATACCTAGCATTAGCATATTGATTAACATGTACATTAGCATAATGACTAATACCACATTAGCATAAGGCAGAAAAAACTGAGTGGCTGCAGAGGAAGGAGTACAAATATATCATCCCCCCCCCCCCATGACAGCTGTTGACAGCTTCAGATTCCAACATGGCTTCATGAATCAGTTCATCCATGCTGCACACGTCCAGGTGGGAGAAAGGAGCGTCCCAATGAGGGAGGGTAGCTGTCATACACTGTATATATATATATATATATATATATATATATATATATATATATATATGTAGGGCGCAGGGGGCCCCATGTGTTTGTCCGCAGGAGATGAGGGTGAATTGGAAGCTATTAATCTGACCTTCCCCTTGGAGCAAAATATACAACATATATATTAAGTCCTCCCGTCCTGCAGCGTTTAACGTCTCGGCCGCTCCGCTGTCTCCATTAGTCCCGCCCCCACGTTGCTTTGTTGCACGTAAACAACATGTTTTTGCAGAAGAATGAACACGACTCATTGCTGTGAACATGACGGCGTTCCCGGGGGAAGCTTCTCCGTGCTTTCACCTTCACGGCCTTCAAGTCGCTACGAGCTGCGTTTCACAGCTCTGCAGATTGAAGAAAGCAGCGACGTCCACCTCCGTTACAACGGCTCGCCCGCTTTCTGCAAGACCATTCCTGGCACGTCGTTTCCTCACGAGGTGGGAGGGAAACAACAGGGGGGGGGTGATGAGGGTTGGCAACAAGGAAATGATCAAACATGCCAACCAGTGATTGGGAATAAACGCGGGGCGACAGACGTCTGACCCGCCCGTCTGCGTCGCATACCCAGAATCCGCCTCGCTGACCGGAGGATTTAACACAATGAAACACAAATGATTTTCTGTCTCAGGGAGGAAGGGACGAGCCGGGGGGGCTGAGGCAGCACTCACAACTCCTTAAGCACCAATAAGTGGACAAACTAAAATGAACTGCCAATCAGCGTGTAGCCCCGCCCCACAGCGCCCCTGGTTTATGGTCTGTTTGACTCTAAATGCACCATCATCTAGTAAATGAACATCATGCTGTGTTGAACGAGACGTGAAACTAGAGACTGAGACATAAACTCATGTTTACAATGTTTACTGAGGGAATAAATCAAGAGAGAAGTAGAGTCATTTCCTCATAGACGTCTATGGGAGCAGAGGAGTCGCCCCCTGCTGGTCACTACAGAGAAGTAGAGTCATGTCCTCATAGACGTCTATGGGAGCAGAGGAGTCGCCCCCTGCTGGTCACTACAGAGAAGTAGAGTCATTTCCTCATAGACGTCTATGGGAGCAGAGGAGTCGCCCCCTGCTGGTCACTACAGAGAAGTAGAGTCATTTCCTCATAGACGTCTATGGGAGCAGAGGAGTCGCCCCCTGCTGGTCACTACAGAGAAGTAGAGTCATTTCCTCATAGACGTCTATGGGAGCAGAGGAGTCGCCCCCTGCTGGTCACTAGAGGGACGTCTGTGTCTGAGAAGCTCTGATCACAGCCGTGAGCAGCTGCTAGACACTGTAGAGCTTAGTGAGGTGTTTGTCTTTAGGTGTATTCGTATTGTGTTAATAAGGAGAATCCAGATGGGTGATAATTTAACTTCTAGTTTCCTTGTAAACGAGTGTTTACATCACACTCAAACATAAATCGCTCGCCTTTTAAGCATCTCTCCACTTGTTTTCCTCCGTCTCTGCGGTCGGGGACGAATGAACCTGAAGGTTAATGGACAGGTGAGGAGTGCAGAGCGCCGTGAGGAGAACAGTGATTTCCGCCTGGTGGGTTTCCCTCCATCACGCCGATCACCGGCCTTCTCCCTGATTCATGGCATAAATATGCTTCCTTTTCACATTGCAGCTGCACAGTCACACAACACCTGACAGGAGGTGTTTTCAGCGGTGCGATGTCAACTCTCCGCCCCCCCTCTCCCCATGCAGCGCCAGGTGGAGGCTCACCTGTCCAGCGGATGTCTCTTCACAGAAGAACCTGAGTATACAAGAGAAAGGATATGGGCTGGAGACCATGCGGATGCAGCAGCTGCGGGGACAGGAGGTCTGCTTGAGGCAGAAGAAGACCACGGGGGCGAGCTCCGGGTACGGCGCGCTGGTGGCGCTGCTGTGGCCGTCCTCCTCCTCCTCCTCTTCGTCGTCCTCCTCATCGTCGCCGTCGCACTCCACCACCTCTTCCTCGTCCTCCTCAATCCTCCCGTCCTCGTCCTCCTCCTGTTCCTCGCGGTGCGTGGGGGGCCTGCGGGGGGAGGAGGAAGTGATGGCCGCCGTCCACGTGGCGACGCCGGGCCCCTCCTCCTCCTCACTCGTCATGGCGACGCAGCGCTCTGGGAGGGGAGAAGGTAGGTTAGGAGACGTCAGTTCACTCATTAAGGAGCTTCCAGAGGAGCAGTATTTAATGCAATGTACTTAAGGTACTTATCAGGTACTTGTACCTGAAGTTTCCTACTTTTCATCTCCCTACATTCGTCCTGCAGCTTCATTTATTTCACACACAAAACACATGAAGCGTCAGAAATGGACCTGATGGCTCATAAGCATCAGATACGCTTTACTGATTCAGTTCAGAGGGGAAGCAGCAAAACTATTGATGCATAAATGTCACTCACTCACTGCACTGCTCTGATCTACCAGTCAGTCGCAGTAACTGTAAAACATTATTATTACAGTGTAATACTACTAATAATACATAGCAGTAATTAGATCAAAATAAACAGTGAAGTATATACAGATATATCTGTATATACTGTTTTGGGAAGCTTGGACCATTCATTTATTCTATTAACTGCTGTATATTGATATTTCAGACCTGCTGTGGTTCCTATTAGAAAACATGCTGCGACATTAAAGTGACACCAGAGGTCGGAACTAATGACTAAAGAATGCTGAGAACAATGTTACAAGTTGTTGGACAACAACGCGGGACACTTGACCCCCGACGGGACGCCGCCGTGGTAGAGACCTGCTTCATGGTCCGTTTGACTCCAAATGGACCATAATTCACTGAATGAGCAGCGGAGACGAGGGGCGTCAATGAGTCCGGCGGCTTCCTGGGATTAAACTGTTGAGGTGATGGAGATAAGAGCACAGGAGCAGCCGGTGTGGAGGAAAGTGCGTCCGGGCTTTAGAAAGTGAGGCTCACGTTAAAGATGTGATGTGATGTGAGACTGTGAATGTCTGCAGAAGTTTCCGGTACTTTTGTTGCAGAGTTAATGTTCGCGCGTGGAGGGACCGCAAACCGGCGCCGTGGTCTCTGCACCGTCTGCTTTGATCAGTGCAGCGTCGGCGCTGCACCACGTGACGGGTCCAAAGACGCGCACAACCACGAGACCTCCTCCTGTGTGGTCCTGCAAATCGAACACGACCCCCCCGAGTGGGTAAAAGAACTCCTCTGCGGCCGAGTCTGAAAAAGAACTTTGAAAACCGACGTTCAACGATCAGAAGACTCCTCCAGTGAGGCCGAGGTTCAGCTCCTCTCTGGTAGAATAACTAAAGTCCACTCGAAGATAACATCACAACAGCTGCCCCATATAAAGACAAAAGTCCACATATCCAGAGTTTTACTGCCGGATAGAGACTTTAAGGATTAAGAGTTGGAGCCACTTCAGAACACTTGCTCTCAGTCGGAAGCTAACCGCTAGCTAGCCGCTAGCTAACCGCCACCAGGACCGGTGCTGGGACTGTGGATGTGATCTAGATGCTCATTAGTGACACACACAGACATATTGTGGGACTGAGGGGGGGTCCTCATTGGGACGGACCCTCACACCAGCTCCCAATGGGAAGCTCCTCTGAGAACAACCGTGGTGAATTTAAAAGACAATCCAGCTGTTTGCCAGACGACGAGCACTTTGCGTTACGTTAGGTTCCACTGGAATCCCCAGAAGGAGAAGTTCTCCCTCTCTGCAGCTCTGCACCTCCTCCGAGGAGCCGCGTGAGATGATCTGGATCCGTTAGTCTGACTCCATTCGCTCTCCCAGTTGTACCCTGACAGCTGACGATGAGACGTGTGTGTGTGTGTGTGTGTGTGCGCTGCTGGCGGAGTCGAGCACAGGTTTGTCGCGGCGCCGAGGAAATCATTAACGATTTACAAAACGTACCCCGCCCTCCCGTCGGAGATCCAAAGCGCCGCACGCCGTCGTGCGTCAATTAGACATGAATGAAATACTCACTTTCCACATTTTCAACACATTACAGGACATTTTGACCAACGAACGGGTGCAAAACTAAAGAGAAACTTTCTTAATAATAAATGCATCCGGCTGTGCGAGGGGCCGACCCCATCGCTGTCGTGCCCTGACCGTTGTCACGGTAACCAATGTCCGACATGGCTATCTGAATGCAAAGTAGGCTGGAGAGGGTTTATGTGTGTGATACCTACAGGACAGCGACGGGCCTCTGGGAACAAGTGGGAATTCGAGAAAAGAAAAAGCATTTTGCTGACGGCAGCTGATGCTGGATCCCCCTCAGTCCTCGTCCTCCTGATCCAGTGGATCACACCAGCCTGCCAGAGCGCCTCCACACCACCACTGGACCTTCAGCCTCGGCACTCAAGTGGTTTTCAGTCCTACTTCTCTGACAGAATACGCCCCGCTGGGAAGATGCAGAGTCCAGACTGCTCCCCGTCTCCCGTGGTGTTCCGCAGGGGTCCGTCCTCGGCCCCGTCCTCTTCATCGCCTACATGCCCCGCCCCCCCCCGGCCGTGTCATCAGCAAACATGGAATGTCCATTCACAGTTATGCTGACGACACACCGCTCTACATCAAGGCAGGACGTCGGCAGCCACGTCATGTCTCACCGCTTGTCTCGGAAAAGCAGTGGAACCGTTCATTTTAAATATTGTGCTGGAAATGTACTACGACTGAAGAGTGACACAAAAGTGACAATTCAACATTGAGAAAATGTTTGTATTTGGCTTTTACGACGGAGCCCATTTAATGTGTTTGCAGTGTTTGCAGGAAGCTTCAGAGACGACGCTTTCTTACAGTCAGCTCTCCTAAGCCGAGGAAACACCGGCGCTTCATACGTGACAGCTAACGGAATTAGCCTTTAATTGATGGGAGCGTTATCTCATAAACCCACTGGAGACCATGGAGGAGGCCAACGAGCACTGAGGGGGAATTAATTTGCGTGGCTGATGCTATTCATTTCCATTGTATGAGGAGGAGGAGGGAGGGAGGAAGGGAGGGTGAGGAATGGAGGAGAGAAAGAGAGAGGGAAACTGAAGCCAGGGCAAGAAGAAGGGTATTAGTATTGAAAATAGGGCTCATGCATTCAAAGCTGATCATATGGTCTCTCATTTAATTATGTTTTAATGCAAGTGTTAAAGAATATCTGAAAGGGTCCAACCCGACATCCCGACCTCTGACCTCTCCGCTCTGCCTGTGATAAACTGCTTGTTCCTCCTCACTGAGAGCAAAACACTCGACTAGATCTCCACTCTCTGCTGTCCTGAAAATTCTAATGTTCTCATGTTTACTGAGCAGAGCCTGAACGCGTCATAACAGAACTGACGGGAACCTCCGTTGGTTAGCCGTTAGCTGTTAGCCATTAGCAGTGCTGCTAACGGTAGTAGCTCTCCTCCTGTTGATCTGAACACCGATTGGTTGGTTTCACTGTTACGTGATCAGAGACCAAGTCGTCGTCGATGCTTCACAGAACGTAAACTTCGTCTACGCTCTGATGGTTAACGGTGAAATTGCTCCCTTTTTGATGGACGTGGTCTGATACACCACTGATGCTCAATATTTGACCAAACCAAGTCCCTCTGAACCAACGTGGGACACAAAGTCTCAGCGTTTTACTCTTAGAGCCGATCCACATATTCATCAATAATCTACAGATTATTTCAGCCTGTGGAGCAGGACGGACACGTGCGTCCACGCGCCGTCCTGCAGGACGGACACGTGTCGGTGCCGGGCTGTCTTACGTCCTTTGCTGGAGGGGTGCCGTGCGTCTCCACCTCGGTCGACATGAAGCCGCTCGGTCCGGTTTGGTCTCGTTAAAAGATTTACTCGTTCTGTCCATCCATCCCGGGCGGAGACGGACAAACCTCTTTACATCCAATCGGTGTCTTTCACAGACTTCCCCTGTCAATAGTGACGTTTCTTCCTCACTCAGTAGATGAAGACACACACTGTGTGTAACTGTCCCCTCTGTGATACACATCGTTCTTCCACCATCAGCTTTAAGCGGAGGACTTCTCTCAGTCCGACAGCTGGAACGTCAGTTATTCAAAAAGAAAATAATGATGTCTGAAGTCCAGATGATGAAATGTTAAACTGCCGATATTAACGACAGTGTTCCCTCTATTCGTATTAACTACAGTGTTCACTGTTTATTCCAAAAGAATCATAAAACCCGTCCTGACTATCAAACAAACTTATCTTATTACATGTAAGTCTTTCACACAAACATCCATTTCCTGCCCATTGGAAGCTATTTGTTGCTACAAATTATTCCTCCATGCTTAGTGATGAGTTTGGTACAATGTCCTCAGCTCTGTCTCTGTCTTCTATGATTAACGGGCTCCGTTCAGCGAGCCAGATGTTACACGGCGTACTGGTGGACCCGTCTGTCCTGAGGAGGGAACCAGAGGAAGTGCTTTGAGACTGGAAGGAGGAGGAGGAGGGAAAAAGCAGTGGAACCGTTCATTTGAAATATTATGCAGCAAATTTACTGCGACTGAAAAGTGAAATGAAGCAATTTCAAAGAATTACTTTCAACATTTTGAAATGGAGAGAAGGTTAAATCTATTTGGCTTTTACAACAGAGCTCATTTAATCTGTTTGCAGTGTTTGCAGGAAGCTTTAGAAACGACGCTTTCTTACAGTCAGCTCTCCTAAGCCGAGGAAACACCGGCGCTTCATACGTGACAGCTAACGGAATTAGCCTTTAATTGATGGGAGCGTTATCTCATAAACCCACTGGAGACCATGGAGGAGGCCAACGAGCGCTGAGGGGGAATTAATTTGTGCGGCTGATGCAATTCATCGCCAGTGGAAAAGAAAAAGGTGGGTGGAGATCTAAATGTAATATCTGGGTGTGGTGAATCAGGAAACTGAAAAAAGAAGAATGACGTAGTTGGCTCAGAAGATGTTCCATCTCTGAAAGCTGTACACTCAAACACCTGTAATACAACAAGTGAAAAGACAAATGCACAATGACAAGTGAAACCGATAAAACATGCATTCTGTGTAGTGACCAGCAGGGGGCGACTCCTCTGCTCCCATAGACGTCTATGAGGAAATGACTCTACTTCTCTGTAGTGACCAGCAGGGGGCGACTCCTCTGCTCCCATAGACGTCTATGAGGAAATGACTCTACT